GTAATACTTTTTTTTTTTTTTTTTAAGGGAGAGAAACATCCATCGGCTGCTTCCTGCACTCCCCCTACAGGGGATCGAGCTTGTGCCCTGACCAGGAATCAACTGGCAACCCTTTGGTGCACTGATTGACGCCCAACCAAGCCACATGGGCCAGGGCTGTAAAGTTTGTTGCCCTCCAGAAGAATGTGAGTTCTGTGAGCCAGAGATTTTTATCTTTATTGTCTATTGAAGAGCATGGCATAGTAATTCTGCAATAAATATTGCATAAATGAATGTGTTGTAAAGCCATTGGAGGCCTTTCTTTTCTTTTTTTTTTTTTGATCGATTCCAGAGAGGGAGGAAGGGAGAGAAACATCCATGTGAGAGAGATACATTGGATCGGTTGCCTCCTGTACCAGCCAGTACCAGGGATCGAACCCACAACCCATCCACGTGCTCTGACCAAATTGAACCGAAGACATTCCAGTGCATGGGACAACACCCTAACCAACCAAGCCACACTGTCCAGGGCACCACTGGAGGATTGTAAACTAAGGAATGGCATGATCCGACTTGTTTCAAACAGCATCAATTTTGGCTGCTAGTCTGAAGAACAGACTGAAGAAGGCCAAGGGGAGAGGCAAGGAACCCAATTTGGAGATTACTACAGTAGTCCACATGAGAAGAGATGGTGGATTAAGGTAGAGTGAAGGACATACCAAGTCAGGGAAGACTGCAAGGTTTTGGTTTATGCAAGTAGAGTTGCCATCTACTGAAAGGAGAAAGACTGGGAAAAGTAGGTTTCAATGGAGAAATACGAAATTTTCGAGATCAGGCTTTCTGGAGAAAGTGGTGATGCCCAAGATTATAAACAAAGAATAAGGTATGCGGCAGAAAGACGGCAAAGAATTACAGGTAAAGGGAGCAGTAGTGAAAAATGCATGAAATAAAACAGCATGACTGTTTTTTGGCTAGAGCCAAAGACAGTACAGGAGCCATAACATGAAGAGAACTTTAATAAAATTTTAACAGTAAGGGCTCAGCTTCAGGCCCTTCACACACTTAATTCTTATAACCTTGCAAGAACAGTTCTCTTTTAACATATGTGGACATCTGAGTTTAGGAATGCACTTAACTGCTTAAGGTTCCACAAGCATAAAACTATTATGAATACAATTGATCCCTACATCTCTGAGCTGTTTCCATTAAATCATGTTCTGGCAGTTTCACTTACTGAATGCTTTTTGAGGCAAGAAAAGTTTTCTAGGTTAGAGTGGTTTTGGGTATTAGATCATACTATTAAAATATCCTTTCACCCCAAAGTAGTTATGTACCTATTAACAGGACTTATTTAAATTTCCTGGAAACTGAGTTTCTGAAAAGACTGAATTTAAAGGGACGTAAGTTTACCTTCAAGGGAAGTAAGAAGAACCTTGTTGCTTTAGATCTGCAATTTTTAAATCTTAGTGTGTTTCAGAATCACCTGGAGGATCTGCAATTTTTAAATCTTAGTGTGTTTCAGAATCACCTGGAAGACAGATTGGTCCCCCACCTGACCAAAATTTAGCATTTCTAACAAGTTCTGAGGTAATACCGATCCTGCTGCTCTGAGGACCACACTGTAAGACTCACTGCTGGTAGACAAGAATAAAGCAGCAAGCAGCTATGTCTGTAGCCGACTGCATCCTTTCTCCAAAATCACTGGTCCTCCAGCAAATCTAGCCCTCGATTTGAATGTATTAAATCCACTCATGACCTACATTTGTATGGAAAACTGCGTGGCATTATGGTTTTAAGACATATCTGATTTTTCAATTCCACCTATTAGCTGTGTGACTTTTGTCAAGTTCACCTTTCTGAACCCTGGTTTCTAAAAAGCAGTGTTCTTATCTACTGTTTTAACAATTAGGGGTTATACATATAGTTGGTGCACAGCAATTTAGTAAAACAAGCATCCATTTTTTCTCCAGTGTGCAGCAGCTATAAATAAGGCATGAACCTCTTAATTTTCATTCCATGTACTGTTGGGTTGTCTCTATTTTAAATCATGATGCAGAGCCAAAATTTGTCTGTTATTAGTTGATTCTTGAAATCAGTATGGATCTTAAGAAAAGCAACCTATTTTTTTATCTTGGAAGCATACTTAGTAATATTTGGTTGCTTCTCAGAATTCCTCAAGTTTCAGAAAAGAAAAATGAAAAGTGTAGATAACCCCAATAATTTTATCTAAATACCTCAAAACATTTAAGTCTAAAATCATATGGCCATAAATCATAGACTGATAATTCTAGATCTCCGCTCTATAATGCTTTAACAACTTTCTCATAGTTTTTCAAAGCATAACATTTGTAACGTACACAACACTGTATTTAACACAGTATATATTCTTTCATTTACAGTATTATGTCATTGCATTAGAGGTTCTTTTTCTACATCAGGCCTGTTTTTTTCCACTTGCAAGTTATAGCAAAGTACAGGGGGGTTTCCTTTGTTAGTGAACCAAAAAAGTAGGAGCCCCCATACCCAAGGACCACACTTTTAGACACAGATTAGTTGGCCTAGACATTTTCCCATTGAAATGCTTTTGTAGATAGTAAATTTTCATCATCATTTACATCTTATTTCCAAATGACTTCAGTTTTTATTTTTTGGTTTTAATTTCCACCAGAAGCTCTTCATCTTTGAAGAATTACCAATGTAGATAAATCCATCCACTGTCTTGCTTCTGACATTTGTCTTCCACCTACTAAATTTACAGAGGATACTATCTCACACTGAAACCATGTACCTGAAATGACTTTAGTAAACAACATTCTATCAACGTGTAATTCCTGTGTGTGGACATTAATTAAAATAATTTCTAAAAAGGTCTATTTATGTAAACTTTTAGGTTTATTTTTTTCTATATTATGTTTTTAAAATCACTCAATAATCTGAATATGGTAATGTTAACTGAAATACCTCAGCCTCTTATGAGACATAATAGAAATTTCTTACTTAATATATCTTAAGCCTAATTCCCTTTTGAAGCATTGTTACATAAAAATGAACACTTCATTACCAATAAGGACAATGTTTTATTGAACAGATCTATGTACAGTACAAAAAATTTCTTGAAATGAGACACTATCGTTGATTTATTGCAGTTCAATGGCTCAGTTTTAATTTGTACTCTTATAAAATGCAAAGTAAAATAATTTAATGTTCAACAAGGAAGCACAAATTCCTTTCTTGCTGAATCTGTAATATCTTTCACATATTAACAGTTCCAAAATGCATATGCAGCATTTAGTCATTCTGAAAAGGTGTTTTACAGTACCAAATAAATTAAAAAATAAAACACTATCATCCCTTTTAGGTTTTTCATCCATACAACAGTTTAAACCAAACACAAAAGGAGTACGGCTGAACCTTCAAGTGTGACTTCAGAAGAATCACAAGTTCAATGTTATAAATTATCTATCATTATATAATTGGTGGGTTTAAAAAACGAATATGGCTAAAGCCCAAAGTACCAGTGTCCTTGTCCACGGAGATTCCTTTTCCACCTCCCCATAATATCTGAGCAGCAACGATTCAGATTTGCTCTTTCTTGACCTTACTGAAACATAGCAGAAAGTTAATATTTAATGTTTTGAAGGCAATTTTTTATTTAAAAACAAAGGATTGAAACTTGGTCCATGTAAGATAAGCACATCCTCAAAATAGAAGGAGTAGAAAAGAAAGACAATAAACTGAGGAAGAAGAAAGCTTCCTTTTCTTCTGGATTCCAAATTACGAGCTGTTGGAAGTTTATGCACCCTCTACAAGCAAAATGATGTAAGCTTATGTTTTATAAAACATACATAAAATGTACACATTCAATAGCAATTATTTGAGAAGACGTTAGAACAGTGGTCAAATAGAATTTTATGACATTCCTTGACTTGTGTATAAACCCATTTGATCTGTCTTTCTGAAAGTTTTCCCTTAGCAACACAACAGAAATAAAACCTCAAAGACAAAAAAATAACATACATGTTTAAAACATCCTGGTATGAACTGCAAAATGAATGAAAATAATTTGTAGACATGATAGTTTCAACTTACAAAAAAATAAAAAGTTAAAAATGTTGTTATAATTTTAAACTTCCAGAAAATTAAGCAGAAATTTTATTTCAAAAATAACTTGATTGTCCAAATGAACTAGTTTCCAAACAGACTTTTTATTACATGATTATTTTAGACTAAACTGAAATAGATCTCAAGTATTACATTTTTAGTGTCAGGGAGTATGGAAAACATTTTAAGTTGACCTTAAAGAATTAAAAAAGCTAATTGATTTTTTACTTATGCTATTTAATGTAAATTCCACAGCCTAATGTAGGCTACTTAAAAAAACAAGCAAACCTAAATTTTATTGGAATGGATTTGACTGTCAATTGCATAGCAGTGAATGCCCATGATAACTAAGCAAATAAAATTGGGAAATTCTTAGATATCTGATCTACCATTATCTATTGTGGCTTGGAAAACCTAATTTAATAAAGTCTGGATGCTGCCCTGGAAGAAGCATCCCCCCTTGCTTGGTAACTTCATTCAAGAAGCTTTAATAGGTCAAAACATAATATTCAAAATATTTGGATATAGTAGGGTCTGACGAGATTATCTGCTTTGAACAAAAATGTGTCAGTTGGAAAACTGGAATATTTGGTTGACACTGGTACATTACTCAGTTTTTGAAGACTCTGCCTTTGCATTTTTGTTCATTTTATCCCTGCTATAGATTAACACATTACTAGGTAAAAGGTCTTTAACCTTCCTCTTTTAGAGAATGTACAAGGAGAATACATCTGAGAGGGTATTCTTAAAAAAAAAATTTTTTTGTTTAACAATTAAGTTAAAATCTTCCTTAGGAAAATTACTGGTCATCAAGGAAAATAAATGCATCAATATATCTTACTGTGTTCTTGCTGTGCAAATTTTTGTGTAAATATTTCCTTTCACATATATATATATAAAATTATTCAGACCAAATTCATCACTAATAAATAAGAAAGCATGAGTAGTATGGCTTATTTTATAACTCTCCTAAATGAATAAAACCAATGAATTCTTGACCCGATTCTTAGCTTACATATTTTTTTTTACAGCCAGTTATTTTTATAGGACTGTACTTAGATAACTCACATTAATGTCTAAAGGACCTTACTATGAATCATCAAGCAATGTCCTAACACTATATACAAATAGAAATATCCCAGTGTGCTTATACCATTACTGTATTCACATTGAGGAATTTGCAATTCAGTGTTTTCCTTCAACTAGATAGCCTTTAATGGTCTTAGATTCCTCCCATCTGTCCCCAAAGTTACCAATGGTACTTTTTCTATTTAATTGACATGGCTGCCTTTTAAATATAATTCATTGGTATTACAAAAATGGAAAATGGAAGGTTCTATCAAAGCACGGTTGTTTTGTCTTTTGTTTTTTTAATTTCCAATGTTGGCATGCCATGCACTGAACTTTCACCTGTGTTTACTCAGTCATCTGGAAACAAGTTACAATCTTTTATGGATAGAATGGTGATAAATCAAGTTATATTTTCATGTATCAGTTTCTAAATTATAATAAACCAAATAGTAGTGATTCCTTAAACTATGTTTGACAAGAAGGGAGGTTACACATGACAAGAAAACCATCCCATTTGCAGAATACTTTATTGTAAACCAACCCCTCCCCCTTTTAAAATAATTGGGTTAACTTTTCCTTTTCTGTAAGGCCATAGCTGGTTTGTCTTTCTGACTAGTTGCCTGAACATGGTTTTCACATAAGCGAAACTGAACATGCTGCTATTAATCTCACAAACTTTTTTTAAAATGTGGTTTTATGGATAACTGGTACTTTGGGAGTTTTGTAATAACCCTTTTGGAATCTGAACCAGCACATCTCTGAGTTCATTCTAGAAAATGTGCTTTGTCTTTATCTTTAGTATTCCAAGACCGCTCTAAAATTAAGGCCATCAGGGAAATAGCAAACTGATGATGCATTTTCTTGTAGTGCTTTTTTCACACTACTGCTTGATCGACAGATCTTTCTGAAACATTTTTATCAGGCACCTGTAAAACAGAACACGTCTATTAATTCAAATTTTATAGATGTTCAAGTGGAACTCTAAGTCAGATTCCTGTTTAATTATACCCTTACACATTCAAAGAATATTCATATCAGTAGAAAGGCAGGCAAATTCTTTTGCTCATTTTTGTTTTTCAATTAGTTTCTGATTCTTTTAAGCTGTTTTTGTAAAGAGGCTCAGTTTCACTTGGTTTATATTCTAGCATGCAGATGAAAAACACTTCCATAATTGCTTTGTCTCTAGAACTTTAACTACATGAAACTTAGAATGAAGAAAAGCCTCAGATACGATGAAAATGATCAAAGAGTATGAAAAACCTGTTTACAAGTTCTGGCTCCCACAAGTTCATAGGCCTGTGCCTATGCAAATTACTTGTGAATTTCAGTTGTTTCTATAAAACAAGAATAGTAATATCACCCCATAATGGTTGTACAGAATAAAGGAAATAATGTATAGGTAGTGCTTTATCATCTGCGCTATAGAAATGTTAACTTTTTAAAAATTTTATATAAATACTAAATTTGATATAGTCTCATTAATTTCTCAGGCATTGCTTTCCCCCAAATCTCCATTAGATATTTAGGCTCCCACACTGTGGGCCCATATCTCAAATTTAAAAGCAAATTAACTTATCAGCACTTCCTTAAAGATAAAATTCTAAAACCAGTGAGATGATTAGAAATAGAAAGCTTACAAATGCTATCAGTTGAGAAATGTTAAATTTTTTTTAACCTCATAGACCTATGGCATTTTCTATTTCTACAGATATACCTACTGAGAAGATAGAAGACTTACTTTCATCATCTGAATCAAATCCAAAGAGTGCCTGACATTTCTTTTGTGCAAGGTGAGCCTCAAGTGCTTCTGCATTACAGTAGGTGGTCAGGCATTTGCCACATCTTAATCTTTTCATTGATTTTTTACAAATGTTATCTTGATCGGAACAGGCATCTATCCTATCAGTCAGAAATTTTCTGCGTTTTGGCATACTAAGGTACCGTTCATCAAGGTAACTGGGAGGCAATGGTCTGACATATGGCTTTGACACAATTAAGCCATATGAAGTATGTTCACTCGTCAGATTTGGTTTGGATGGTGCCTGAGATACTGTCAGGGTACTGTGTTCTTGTGGTACATTGGGTAAAATGGAACCGTTTTCTGTCCTGATTCTATTTGTATCAATTTTCAAAGCAGGACCTGATGAAACTAAAGGTGTCTGTTCTATTCCACTGTGTCCATTGACTAAATCACTAATACTACAATTATTTTCAGAATTTGGCTCTATGTCAGGCATCTTTTGGTTTATCAAGCTTATATCAGAAACAGTGTCATCAGAATGCTCATTTCCATTCTGAACTAAACTGTCTGTCTTCTTTTCCATACTGTCTATACACGTCTTTGGTTCTGTAGAATCCTTCCTTGATTTGCTAGTAGAAACTGACAGACTAATAGCTTGTTTCTCATTACTAGATGAGTCTTTTTCCTGATGACTAGGATTTGAGTCTGTAAGATCATCCCAAGCAATTGCTTCACTTGGTTGTGCAGATGATTCCGGTGTTTTACTTAAATAGTGCTGAGCTTCATGTTCATATAACAGAGGAAGATCTTCGAAAAGCTCATGACATTCTGGAAAACTACACTGAGCTTGAAATATCCTGTGACTTTTTGTGTGCTGAGCAAGCTGGAATGGCAGCTTAAACGACTCATTGCAATTAAAATGCAAACAAAAATACACATTTGGATAGCTGTGTCTATTAAGGTGATCTATAAAATGCTGAGAATCTTCAAACTGCCTTTGACAAAATTTGCATTTTCCTTTGCTCCACTTCATTACTGTTTGCCGCACATTTAAGTCAGTTGGATGTGCAGTCCTTGCATGTTTATTTAAAAATCCAATTCTTTTAAATATCCGGACACAGCCAAGAGCAGGGCACTTAAAGTTTCCTTCTTGATCTGTATCATATATGTCTTTTGGATGGCACACAGTTCCGTTGATTTTATGAAGTACTGAAGTTTCTTGATTCAGGTCATAATCATCTTCTTCATAATCACCTTCTTCCTCCTCTTCCTCCTCATAGTCATCCTCACACACAGGTAAAGGGTCCAATACATTATTTACATAAGTATCAGGACTGCCATTTTCAATAACATCTTCTGATACACTTACGGGAATTTCAGTGAATTCAGCCACACACTCGGGGATGACTTCTTCGTTTCCATCACTTGAAGTATTATTAGTCTGTACTTCCAAATCTCTATTATCAGAATTCCCGTTTTCGAATGAAATTAAAGAACTGGAACAATTTATGTCTTCCAAAGCAGGAATTTCCTGATCCTCCTGTTGAGCTGCAGCAATCTGCTGTCTTTGTATTTTTTTAACATGATTCTTTAAATGCTTCTGCATAAGTCCTCTGTTTCTAAATTTCCTACCACATATTACACAGGAAAAACTGCCCTTTTTCTGATGAGCCTGGGCATGCCTTACAATGTGACCACCTAGAAATTCCTTGTTACATAACATACACCGATGCCTTGGGACACTGTGGTCTACTTTAGAAGCATTAAGAGCTGTCAGGTTTTTCTTTGTATTAGCGTGGCCTTTAGGCTGTACTCCAGGTATATCATCAGGATCAAGTTCTCCAGTGCTCTGATCTGTAAAAGAGTCAAGACCTTCATCTAAACATTTCTGTTCCACTGTCTTTTTTAGATTACCTGTAGAATTGTCCAGTGTATTTTCATTTAGAAATCTGATTGCTGATTTATCGCTCAGTAATGCTACACAGTTTTTCTTAATCATTACGAAGTTCCAGAATTCAGGATCAAAAAACAACCCCTTTTTCAAAATTGGAAGTAATTCAAAACGAACACGATTCTGAACACTACTGGTGCCTTCATTGTATTCTTCATCTGGACGTTTGTAAAGCTCTTCAACAGTATGATAAGCTTCCAAGGAGCGCTCAAGGAAAAATATTGAGAGCGCACAAATCCTGAGGATCTCCAAATCATTTGGCAAAAAATGTGCAATTGTTTTATAAATTAGACACTTAGTTTTGGGATCATCATGAAGATCTAGTTGTAGAGCACAACCACATATTTCAACACAAATTTGTAAGCCTTCTTCTTCAACCTGTATAAGAAAAAAATACTACTAAGTACCTTTTAAAAATATTACACAAACTAGTTTATCTTTTTAAAATACAACTCTGAAATGAAAGCTAAATAAACACAGTATTCCAAATGTACAATTTTCCTTAATGGATAGACTTAAATCTTTTATAATATATAAATAAATCTTTTTAAATTTGAGAATCTGGAAAAGATAGCATTTTTGCTTCTGATTTATTTAATTTTTACCACTAACCATAATACAAAATTATTTATAACCTTACAGTGATTTAAAATACAAAAGCTGGCCCGGCTGTGCGTGGCTCAGCAGTTGAGCATCGACCTAGGATCCAGGTGATCAGGGTTCAATTCCCAGTTAGGGCACATGCCCAGGTTGCGGGCTCGATCCCCAGTCGGGGGCATGCAGGAAGCAACCGATCAGTTACTCTCTCATCAATGATGTTTCTATCTCTCTCTCCCCCGCTCCTTTCCTCTCTCTGAAATCAATAAAGACATATTTAAAAAATAAAATAAAATACAAAAGCTGGATGGTAGGCACACAGTGCAATATACAGATCTTATAACATAGAAAACCACACCTGAAACATACATGTTCGTATTAACCACTGTCACCCCCATAAATTTAATTAAAAAAATAAAATACAAATGCTTCATAAACTTACGAAGATTAAAGTTTCTTACAAATCTAGATCCTGTTTATTATTTTAGGTACTAATCTCACATTCTGTGGCAGAAGGGTTAAATTATATGTATTTAAACACATTTATCAATTTTTGATGTTAAAAAATAACTAGTTTGGTTTTTTTAAAGAGAACTGCTTATGGAAACTCTTTCATAAAGCTGCACCAAATAATATTACTTCTGTTACTTAAATAATATTATTTATCCAAATAAAGGGAGAAGGGTAGGCCACACGAAGAAGGCAATGACAATCTTTCCAAATCTAATAAGGTGTCAGAATAATGAACCTACTGGAAGTTACCTGAAAATTACTCAAGCTTTGAAATTTTTACTTATCACTCAAAGATAACTGCATCAGCTTTTACCTGGGAATCTGTTGTCTATCCACCTTAATTCAAATTATAGATAATACTGCTAATGATTTGGAATGCTTGTTTGAATATAAAGCACAAAAGCAATATATCTTTAAAGCACTGTGTGTGTGTGTGTGTACATCGTAATACCTGCATATTATAGATGACAGAAAGGAAGACTACTTTACCATACTTATATCCTCTTAGTCGTTTACATGCTATGTAACCCCGCTTCACTACACAGAGTTCCACAAGCAGACCTTAACTTTGCACATCACATTCCCACTTTATCTAGCTGGTAAATTCCTACCCATCTATTCATTCTTTGGCAATCAGTTCTACTCTGAAAGTTTTTCTCACCATTCATTCTGGCCCCTACCTTGGGGTAGAGTTAAACATTCCCCATTCTTTCCACTGAGAATAATTACACTTATTTCTAAAAAGCATGTATATATTGTTTTATAACAGTCTGTGTGTGCCCCGCCCCTAACCCCAACTTTGAATTCTTAAATTCCTAGAAATCAGTTTGAATTCCTAAATAATACAGTATCTCATTTTTCATATCTTCCTATAGGTAGTGTAGAAATTGGCATATAGTGACCTTTGAGTAAATGTTTACAGAGCAAATGGGAGCACACCTATTCCACTAAGTTTAGTTTTCTCTTATTAGTCCACCATGTCCAGCTTGAAATTCTTTTCTGAATTCAAATTTCCTTTTTCTAATTGTCTGTTACAATTAGATATTTCCACCTATATTTTCCAGATATAACAAATTCAAACTTCACTGCTTCAAAACAGAATTCCTTCTCTTTCTCCAAATGAAGTTATAATGTACCCACAGTTGCTCAAGTTTAAAAATTTCAGGATCATCGCAAAAGGACGAAGGGGAACAGGACACTTTCTGACTCAAAATCCTTTAATAATTCCTGTACATTTACAGACTGAAGTTCCAACTTTCAATGTAGCATTCAAGTTCCCTTTAGGATCTCCAGCACTGCCCCACCTCCTGCAGTCCAGTCCCTCTGATTAGTTTCATCTCCTACACTCTCCCTAGGTTTCTCTGCTACACTATTAATGTCACTGGACAGTTCTGAGAAACAAATAATAAAATGAGGCAAAAACGCTCTGTAAAATACAAATGTTAGTATTATCTTCCTCTACCATTCAAAACCCAGCTTAAAGCATCTTCCTCTGTGAAGCCTTTTCAAATATGCAATCTGTAACATCTCCTTCTCAACTCATACAGCATTGTCTGTGCCTCTTTTCACAGCACTGAGGCATGTGAGTGACTTATTCCATTAGATAAAGATCTTTTTAGTAGAGTATAACATTTTTAATATTTATTTCATCTTCAAATTTTTCCTCTGATGATGTATTCTTAGGTTGACCAGACTTGTGAAAATAAGAAAGCTTTATGTTAACTGGCTGAACTTCACCTAAATTATAAACTTTCTTTAACAAAGTCTCTTAATTTTTGGTGCAAATGAGAATCAAATGTAAAAAAATACAGATACATCTTTTATTTTTTAAATGTTTTACAGATGACTCTGATGCACTTTAAATGTTAAGTATTCTATAGCATAACTTGTTTGGGTTTTTCCCCCTCCTGTTTTGATAGGAAGAAAGGTTAACTTCCGACAATGCACTTGAATGGCATTTCACTATCTAATAATGAAGCTATTAAGGCCATTAGCAAAATAAATAGGAAATAAAACAACAACAAAAACACCTCTGATACAATGCTGCCAACTTTATGTCATGGGAATATGATCACTGCTTGGTCATACATCTAATGAGTGATGTGATAATGAATGTGATAAATGCATAAATATGTAAGAAAAAATGAAATATATTATTTAATGGATGCCTCCTTATATATTTAAAAGTAATACACATAAATATTCAGTTAAAATGAAAAGATGTATCTTTTCTGTCTTTGCATTCAAACTTGTTAATATTTGAGGGGGAAAAGTTAATGGATCTGCAGGATCTATTTTCATGTCTACATAAGTCATGTAGAATTGTACTCACTTGAAGTGGCCCATAAAATATTTGCTTCAGAACTATTTTTAAAAACAGATAATGTGTTTATACTATTACATAAAATAAACACTTTAAAAATGTGTCCTTAAGTTTAAAAAATGCCTCATAATCATGGTTTCTTTTCAACTAAACACCAGACTTAAAACTATGAACTGTATTTATTTTTAACAGTGAGCAGGTATTCCCTATAGATATATAAAGTTAGTTTGCAAATTAGTTAAAATTCTGCAAAAGTGACAAACTTGTTTAATTATATCTTCTGCTTCAAATTTATAGTCAAATAAGTTCTGTCATAAGACATTCAAGTTTCAGTGAACTGTCATTTAATTTTCATTTAAAATGAAGGGGTAAATATATCCTGTTTACCTCATCCTTAATGATTTTCATGAAAGGAAATATGACTCTCACATTAGTTGCTGTTCTTAAAAGCTGGTAGCATTGATCTACAAAAACTTGTTTTGAAGGATTAGACTTAAGCTGAAGTTTACTCCATATGAAAATCAACTCCCTGTAAATGAGAAAAAGAGAAATATCAAAAAAACAGTTTATTCAAATACAGACATTAGTTATCTTTCACTGATTCTATAGTGCCCTGGATGAGATGTATACAAAGTGAGTAAAAATGGGTATTATGTTAACCCCCAGGCTATTTCTGCTACCTATATGAAACTAATAGAAGCTGGGGGGGAAGGTCAGAAATTGTAATTTTGCAGTGGTAAGGAATGAATTCCAATCATGTGCTGACAAACTTAAGGTGTCTCTAGTACTTGATCAAAACAAATTCTAATTCCAATATACCAATATTATGATATTACTTTAAAAAAATAAACTTTTTGGCCATTAGTTAATACCCTCCTTGCCAATTTAGAGATCAATACTATAGGCACTCTGCAAAGAAATGGTTCATATTTTTCATTTTCAGTCTGTTAAGATACCAAAAGTATTACAGATCAAAAGTGTTAAGTATATTAGAGTAGTAATTCTGAAATGTTTTAGATTATCTGCTCTTCCATTATGATGTAGTACTTTCAATATAGACAAGCTATAGACCATTTAAAGTGTTTCACAGGTAGATTGTTTTCTAACATATGGCCAAGGTTATTAGATGAAGTAGTGAGTTTTGAGCAAAGGAAGTCATAAGATATAATTGATATATTTGGATATCACATTTTAGCAATTAGAATTCTTTAACTATATCATTAAAGTTACATAAAGCATCATAATCTAAAAAGTATTAAAACTGATGAAAATGTTTTTTAAAAATGTGATTTCATGTACTTTCAGCCCAGTACATACAACTATTAAATCTAAGGGTGGACTGGCTACTGTCATGAAGATATGCACAGTCTGCCCAACCAGGCATGGCTCAGCGGTTGAGCATCAACCTAGAATCCAGGAGATCATGGTTCGATTCCCGGTCGGGACATATGCCCGGGTTGGGGGCTCGATCCCCCAGTCGAGTGCGTGCAGGAGGCAGCCGATCAGTGACTCTCTCATCATTGATGTTTCTAATCTCTCTCCCTTCCCCTCTCTGAAATCAATAAAGATATGTTATATATATATATATATAAAGATATGCATAGTCTACTTAGACAATACAGAAAACAGAAAATGATGGCAAGCAACATATTAACAGTAAAACAAAAATTCTACCTCTATTTCATACTAGCTTTGTGGATATAAGTTTTAGTCCACTACCCACTTTTTTTGCACATGTATTCCTTCAAAAGTTCACTAGGTTTCACACCTTGCTCCCAAATCTCTAGCTCTGACTTCTTTACCAATATCCGTGCCTCAATATATTTCAATTAAGACTGCTTTCTAGCACCTTAACCCTGTTAGAATAATATCCCTGTAAAATTAATGATCTTTTCCTAGATCAGTCAGTGACACAAAACATTCCTCTAACCTATTCTAACCTGTTTATTTTTCACAGTCTTGACATTTTGATTATATTTTTCCTCACAGCTATACCATTCTTCCTCAGTGCTACCACCTTAAGCCCTTTAATTGTACATATGTACTTCTACAGGGTTGCTAAACTGATCTGTGTCCACCTTCCAGATCGTTTTATTTAGTACTTATTCTATATGCTGTTTAGTGTCCATAGCAATGGAAACATGAGTTTTGAAATCAGAAGCATCAGGATTTGAATTCTGGGCACTCTTCTAGGTTGGTCTCCTCACAGTTAATTTGTTTCATTTATTCTCACTTTTATGTTAATTGCTCTACTTGTAAAGTATTCTTTATTTCTAAAATGAGCTTATCTTTCAGTGTCCATGTCAAGTGCCTCTTCATGGAAGCCTTCATGAATATCCCAAACTAAAGTGGTAATTACTTCAGAACAGATCTTATCCCTCTTACTGATTTTATGCCTTTCATATATTTCCTAGCTTATTTTCTATAGATCCTATTTCCTCAACTATTAATACATTATAAGTCTCCTCAGTGATACACTGTATAGAAGTAGTGGCAAAAACATGAGTTTGGGAATAAGAGAAGCCTAAATATCAATATGACAATGCGCTACCTGGCATGGCATTACTGTTTACATTGAGCCAACTTTTTCTGGCAATAGCCCTAATACACAAGATTGGAACCCAAGTGGCCATGTCTCCTATGTGATCCTCCTCACCCTCCTTAAGATAATAATTCAGGAATAGAAAACAGACCCCAGTCAGTTTCAACTATGGAATGTTCTCAGTTCTAAACTATGAGGTGTGGGGACTGTTGCATTCCTTCTGGTCTGCAATACAAGAGACTGGAACCAGCTGGCACAAAAAAGAAACAAATTTTTTTTTTAAATCCTAGCAATCTCAGAGTCCCTGGTAGCACTTCTCTTTTGAGGACCAACTATAGCCCTGCCCTTTTTGTGGCTGATGTCATAACCCAGTATCTTTCCAATACAAGCATACCTCATTCTTTTGCACTCTGCCTCACTGCTATTCACAGATGTTGCATTTTTTACAAATTGCAGACCCTCCACAAGTAAAAGATTATTGCTTTATTGCAATACTTGCTGTATTGTGATATTTACTGTATTGTGATACTCACTGTATTGTGGCTGGAACCGAACCTGCAGTATCTCCAAGGTATGCCTATACTACTACATTTTCCCTCAACTAGTTAGACATAGGATGCTATCATTTGCAGATTGACTAGCTTAATTCCAACCTCATTTTGTTACAAGCTGTGTGACTTTTATGTCTTTTATCCACAGTTTTCTTATACATAAAAAGAATTGAGAGAGAGAAGCAAAAACAGCTAGGTAAAATGTCTGGTATATACTGATGTTTAATAAATCACTAGTTTCCTTGTCTTTATAATCTTAATAGTACCAAGCAAGGAGATTTGTTCAATAAATGCTCATTAGTAATCTGAAAAAGATTGTATTACTAAATGTTAAGAGCATTTAGAAGAAGCCTCTTGAGGAAATATATTAAAGAAAAATTAGACATGGAATGAGATAAAAGACGATGGTAGATGTGGCATATCTCTGCAACAGATTTAAAGACAAAAAAAATGATAGCTGGAAATTAAGGGAAAGTATTCTATTCAGTGTTTACGTGAAATAATGTTTAACATTATAGAAATGTATATATTCTCCAACTTACTCCAAAAAATAATTTGAGACTCCTTAGAGAGACATTCTTAAGGTACAATATATATTTTTTCTCTTTTCTGAAGAGAGAGATCTTCTCTTTGTTTCTGTTAACTCAGGAGGAAACTTGGTAAACAAAATGTAATACCAAGATCTTACTAAATTTGCCAGGAGAGGTCCACCAATATGGATTTTTGCTTTCTAGCAGGAAAAACAGAAATACCAGGATATGGTTATGAAGCTCCATTCTGACTGAATTTACAAAGGAGTCTCAGGTTTACGTGTACACTGGGTTTTGAAGGAAAACACAAAAAACCAAACACACTAAAAACCACTAATAGTCTTCTTTGTGAAGACCAAAGGGAATGTTATAATGGAGCTTATGTTTTTTTCAAACATAGGGTCCTTTAGAAAACACAGCACCAATTTGGTGTACAAACACATTTACCAGGTAGCAAGTACTAATAAAATCAAGTTGATCAAATTATCTAGTTGCAGAGAACAGGCTATATAACAGGTTCTACAATCACCCTTATAACATAGATTTTTTTTTTCATACTTGAATTATTTATAGTAAGTAATGTTTAATAGCAGAGGCTGTAAGGCTACCTGGGTTTGAATCTTGGCTTTATTATCTACTAGTTGAATGGCTTGGGTGTAATATTATCTACCCCGTAAAATTGTTGGAATAAATGAGATAATGCACACATACAACAAAGACTATAGGAAGCACTCGGCAACTATTACAGCTACCATTACTATATTATTTTATTATTATTACTATTATTATTATTTAGTGATGGTAAGAGACACAGGGTTAGTAGCTTACTCCACTAGCGTGAGATAGAGCAGAATTGAACTACTGATCAGGTTCTTTCCTTAAAGAGGGAAGATAAAGCATAAGCTGGTTCACAGTGAAGGCCAAGATGAAATAGACAACACAGGCCTTATATGCTAGAAAGCATCCTGTTATTCAAGTTACAATGAAAATCAACTTTTAGAAGAAAAAAGGATCTCAGCATTAAGAAATATAGAGGAGAGATAGAAGAAATAAGATGGCAGACCATGAGAACTCAGCCTACTCAGAAGGAAGGACCAAGAAGCAGGCTAAAGATTCCTTTCTGGATGGTGTGGCTCAGTGGTTGGGTGTTAACCCATGCACCAAGAGGTCGCCGGTTTAATTCCAGGTCAGGGCACATGCCCAGTTTCAGGCTTGATCCTCAGTGTGGGGCATACAAGAGGCAGCAAATCAGTGTTTCTTTCTCATTGCATTGATGTTTCTCTCTCTCCCCTCCCCTCCCCTTCTGCTCTCTCTCAAATGAATAAAAACATTTTAAAAAAAAGATTCCTTTCCAGTTAGGCAGCTGGGAGTTGCATTACCCAGCTCTATTCTTAGAGGGTGACTATGGCCAGGAGTGGGAAAGATAGGCACTATTCTATTTTTAAGGTCTCTCCTTAAATAGTAGGAATTGGTTAGCAAAAGAAATAAAATGTTTTCTTCTTTGTTTTTGTTCACATATGATTCCATTTTACTTAAGAGTATATTAAAATGAAAAGACTGAAGATAACCTGTTAAGGTAGTTTAATAATACAGCTAAGGGCAGAAAACATTTCTATCCCCAAAGGAAAAGATCTACTATAACAGTAATGACTATATTCTGTTTTGGAGTAACTACTTATCAAGAAATGATAATACTTAAGTGTATTTGAAATTCAACATACAGGGTAAACTTTTGAATAAAAACTTAAATAATCCAACTAAAAGTATACTCTCCTAGAAGATAAGTCCACTAGTTTCTACACCTAGCTCTGTTACTAATTACCTATTGATCTCTTAGTCTGAAGACTTTAATCTATAAAACAAGAATATAAATGAGTTTAGCTTTAAATTCCCCTTTGAGCTATAATTTTAAATATTTAAAATTCAAAAGCACTGATAAAATTGTTTATAGCCCATATCATTTCAGATTACTGTATTCCAGCAACTGCAACCTAGTTTTCCCTTCAAAATTAATGAAATGTCAAAGTGGTAAAGTGTGTGTGTGTGTGTACTGGGGGGGCAGAAGTTATTAGAATCTCTTATAATTATTATTCATGGTTTCACTTAACAGCACTCTAAGGGTAGATACTAAAAACACTCTCATACTACATTCTAAATTACATGATAGGTAACTTGATGCTTCATATATCCTACTAAAAATTTTTAAGTAATTCTTACAATGTTTTTAAAAAACTAATACACAATACCATTTACATTAGCACCTAAAAAATGAAATGCGTAGGTATAAATTTAACAAATATATACAAGATTTATATGAAGAAAATTACAAAACTCAGGTGAGTTAAAGAACTAAATAAACAGATTTTCCAGGATAAGAAGACAAAATATTGTCAAGATGTCAGTTCTTCCCAACTTGATCTACAGATTTAATGCAATCCTGACCAAAATCCCAGCCAGTCATTTTATGGATACTGACAAACTGATTCTCAAGTTTATATGGAGAAGCAAAAGATCCAGAGTAGCCAAAACAAGACTGAAGAAGAACAAAATTGGAGGATTGATCTACCTATCTTCATGTCTTACTATAAAGCTAATGTAATGAGGACACTGTTGTATTGTTAAAGAACAGACAAAGAGAGCAATGGAACAGAATAGAGAGCCCAGACATGCCACATAAATAAGGTCAACTGATCTTTGACAAAGGAACAAAGGCAAAACAATGGAGCAAAGATAGTCTCTTCAACAGATGATGCTGGAACAATTGCCATCCACATGCAAAAAAATGAATCTAGACACAGACCTTAAAGCCTTCACAAAAATTAACTCAAAATGGGTCATAGACCTAAACATAAAATGCAAAATTATAAAACTTCTAGAATATGACAGAATATACCTAGAGGACCTTGGGTATGGTGATGCCTTTTTAGACATAACACCAAAGACATAGTCCATGAAAGAAATAACTGATAAGCTGGACTTCATTAATATTAAAAACCTCTGCTCTATAAAAGACAATTTAAGAAAATTAAAAGATAAGTCACAGACTGGAAGAAAACATTTATAAAAGATAGATCTCATTAATTACCGTTATCCACAATATACAAAGAACTCTTAAAATTCAACAATAAGGAAACAAGCAACTCAATTTTTAAAATGGGCTAAAAATCTTAACATTGTTGTTTTAATTTGCACTTCCCTGATGACATACAGATGGCAAAAAAGCATATGAAAAGATGCTCCACATCACATGTCATCAGGGAAGTGCAAATTAAAACAACAATGAAATACCATTACACACCTATTCAGAAGGGCCAAATCTGGAACCCTGACAACAAATGCTGGTGAGGATGAGAATTCTCATGCATTGCTGGTGGGAATAAGAAATGATACAGCCATTCTGGAACACAGTTAGGCAGTTTCTTACAAAACTAAACATACTCTTACCATACATTCCAGCAATCGTGCTCCTTGGTATTTACCCAAAGGAGTTGAAAACATGTCCACACAAAAACCTGCACACAGATGTTTATAAGCAGCTTTATTCATAATTGCCAAAACTTGGAAACAACCAAGATGTCCTTCAGTATGTGAATGGATAAATAAACTGTGGTACATCCAGACAAGGGAATATTATTTAGCACTAATGAGCTATCAAACTATGAAAAGACATGGAGGAATCTTAAATGTATAGTACTAAGTGAAACAAGCCATTCTGAGAAGGCTACACACACATTGTATGATTCCAACTATATGATACTCTGAGAAGGCAAAACTATGAAGACAGTAAAAAGATCAGTGCTTTCCAGAGGTGGGGGGTTAGGGGGAAAGATTAATAGGTAGAGCACAGAGGATTTTTAGGGCAGTGAAAATACTCTATATAATACTAGAACAACGGATATGTCATTATATATTTGTCTAAACCCACAGAATATGTAACACCAAGAGTGAACCGTAGGTGAACTGTGAACTTTGGGTGATTATGATGAGTCAGTGTAGGTTCATCCTTGGTAAAAAAAGTGTACCATTCTGGTGCATGATACCGATATGTATGTGTGGAAGCAGGAGGTATGTGGAAAATGTCTGTGCCTCCCTCTCAATTTTGTTGTAAACATAAAACTGCTCTAAAAAAGTTAAGCCTTAAATTAAAAAAACAACAACACACACACACAAAAAAAACTAACACTCCCAATTTAATTTAAAACATAATTGTTTCATTATTACACATACCTTAAACATTTACAGCCAATTACTAGAATATATGATCATTTTCTTTTTTAATCTTTAGGTCTTACAATCTACTATTCTTCTCGCTTAACATTTTCACATAACTTTTTAAAAAATATAAAGTCCAAACTCTGCTAACCAATTCTCCTTCTGTTCCCCATCTTATTTCAATTTTTATATTAGGGGCACTTACCAGATACAATACATATCCCCATTCTGGAGCTGTGGAATAAGAAAAGATTCACAGAGTTGCAAGGCTAACATAGTCTTGCCTTCTTTTTCAGTGTTACAGATGATATCAATTCCACTCTTACAATCAGTTTTCAATAAATGCTATAAGAGGAAAAGAAAAATCAGTTCATATAATTAAAAATATCTAAAAAGCTAGTTGCAATAAATGTTTAAACATTCAAAAGAAATTAGATTTCTAGTTTTCTTCTACGAAGGTGATGAATTGTACAGAAAAATTCTCATGGTTTCATAGTTTTACTATTGTAGCACCTACAGTTTACAGTGACTACTTTTAATCTCATTAATGTCTATAACTTATAGGTGAGTAGGGTCCATATTAGAAAAAGATTCTTCCATCTTGAAACAACAAAATAACAAACATGAAAATTTAATTTCTTAGTATTTTATTTAAAAGGCAAAATCGTAATACTTCTCAGTTTTTATATGACCTCTGTCACAACAGAAATTCAACATAAATAATGTTTATTGCCCTGGCAGGGTGGCTCTGTTGGTTGGAGCATCATCCTGTACACCAAAAGGTTGCGGGTTCAATTCCCCGTTAGGGCACATAGCTAGGTTTGATTCCAAGTCGGGGCATGTATAGGAGGGAGGCCTATGTTTCTCTCTCATATTGACATTTCTCACTCCCCCCCCACCCCAAAATAAAGAAATATATCCTTGAGTGAAGATTAAAATAATGCTTATTAATGAATGTTTTATTAATTTCATTTGTTAATATCAAGATTTTGTCTAATTTAACATGAGGTTAAAGAATGATGCCAAAGAGAACACATATAGATAATGTCATCTGAAACCTTTGGTATTACTATAATAAGGAATTTAACAAGAATGGGCTACATTTTTTTAACTGAAAGGTTAAAGTGATGATAGGCAAACAAAATCTTAAATAATACCTCCCGGAATAGCTGATCTTCTACAGGTGACATAAATAAACATGTGAAGAGTGCTTGATGGAAATATAAGTCTTTGCTGATTTCTGGGTGATTTATACAAGATTTAATAAGAGCCATTGCTTCAGGTATGCGTTCACAAGCAATTAGGTATCTGGCACGTAGTTCAAAGAACAGTGGATTTTCCGAACTTAAGTATTTGTTCACTGTATTAAAAAGAGAACAGACTCATATTACTCTCAAGAAAAGATTCTCTCAAACTCTTGTTGTTTGAAACTTTATCACTAACATGGCATCTAATTAGATTAACTAGATATTTAATTAAATGGCATTTTCTTTAGTAATTTGTGAAAAGAATATATAATTATATGATTGGAAAAATGAAAATAAAAGTGACAACAAAACAGTGCTCAAGAAATATATGTTGATTTCTTCTCAGTCTAAAAGGTAAAAAACCTGAAATATTCATTTCTCAGTTCACTAACATGTTAAAATGTTTCAAATAACATGGGGTCTGGAATTTCTTGCCTAAGATTATGTACTTAGATCTTCTTAAGTGCTCAGTATTTTCATTACTGTTAAGATGAAAAGGCTGAATCCTAATTTGTCAATAAAACTACATTAATTCAGATTAATTATAAAAAAATAAATCTGAATTAATGAAAAAGTTAAATCATAAAAGAAATATATTTTAGCCCTGCTGGTGTGGCTGAGTGGTTGGACATTGGTCGACCCATGAACCAGCAGGTCACGGTTCAATTCCCGATCAGGGCACATCCCCAGGGTTGTGGGTTCGATCCCCAGTAGGGGGCATGCAGGAGGCAGCTGATAAATGACGACTCTCTCATCATTGATTTTGTATCTCTCTCCCTCTCCCTTCCTCTTTCTAAAATCAATTTTTAAAAAAACATATTAAAAAGAAATATATTTTATTACTTTTCAACAAAAGATTAAGCCAAAAGGACTGCTTATTAATATGTGCTTATGTGTCACTAAGAAAAATTACTAATAAAATACTTGCTTTTACACAATTTAAAACTATACAAACACCTTTATCTACTAAATTTATTCAGACCTAACAACAACCTTATGACAGGTATCATAGTATCTGTTTTACAGACCACAAAACTGAGTCTCAGAGAGGTCAAATGACTTGCCCAAGGACAAAAATTAAGTGGCAAAGTAGAAACTGGAACCCATATTTCATGATATTGGACCCAAAGTATTTTAATTAGTTATATATGTTTAATCATTAGCTTCTAAAATGCTTATGAGTGATGTTTTATTTGGGCTTCAACATTTGCCTTGCAATTCTGTTTCCAACGTATGTTAAACAGACACTGATTCGTAGTTAATGCAAAGATAAACTTCAGACTAGTCTTTACCCTAATGATCACAAAATAGAGAAGAGTCATCCATATTAATGAGACTCTAGAACAGTTTTTCCCAGAGTGAAGTAATGTCAATGTAAGCATGAAAGGACTATGTATGAAGAACTATACATACATATATTAAGGCCATCAGCCCTCACAGCAACCCACAATATGTTTGTTCTAACTCCTACTCAGAGAAGCCTAAAACCTCTCTCCTAAAAGCCTAAACTTTCTTTTCCTGTTTTCACTTCTTTTGAAGCTCTGTGTTGTCTACCTACCTTCTTTCCCCTCTGCCCCATTCCCCAGTCTCCTCATAGTTTCCTTCTGTCAACCTTGCCTTACCTATATTTGACTCTACATACCTCTCCTCAATAATCCAACTCTTTCTGTTCCGTTCCAGCTACCTCCCTCTTCAGTTCTTTCATTCCTTCCCCAGACCCTCACATCAAGTTCCAGTCTTGTTTGCACCCTTTAGGTATATACCACTACACCACTGTCACATACATACCTTAGCTGTTTCCTCCTAGTCTTGTCCTACCTACCATCTCATCCCACTGCTTTCCACTACTTCTGCTGCCCTTATCTCTTCATTTTCTCTCACATCTCTCGTAGACCTCCACGCTTGTATCTGGGCTCAACTTCCTCTAAAAACCAAGAATCACAACTCCTCCTCCACTCAACTCGACTTACAACCCCCCCACCTCGGTGCCTTAACCTGGGACAAATGGGCAGATCCTAATCTGCTCAGCACAATCTGTGGTGTGAAGTGTCTTTTTCACCAGACCAAGGTCTGAATGGTTCCAGAGCTGGGAGTTCTTGTCTTTTCCTTTTGGCTATCTTATAATTGCACTCGTACACTCTCTCCATGCTTTTAAATGTTTTCCACAGTTTTGTGTTTATTTACTACTGCTCAGATCTACATTCTAAACTGTGGTGATCAAAAAAATGGTCTATGGCTCAGGAATAATATGTGAGAAGCAGTTGGCAGAGGCTCCTTCCTCAAAAGAAAATTTTGGCCCACAGGAACCACTATGCCTCTAGGTTTGAGAGGAGGTGATGTCAAAGAAGTATGCAGGTAAGGGAATGAGAGAAAATTTAACTTCTATTAATGAAGGTTGGGAAATACTGCTCTACAGTATTTGGAACTGAAATTTACTTACTCGGGTAGTCACTCATTCATTTATACAGTCATCATGTGGTCATTCATTCAATCAACAAATACTTATATTGAGCACCTTCTCTGTACCAGGTACTGAGCTAGATGTAGGATATACAGTAGTGGTGACAAAATTAGATGAGTTATAGCCCTCACAGCTCCTTCTGTATATGGGAGATCTCATGTGCTTAATCAGGGTGTTTTGTTTTGTCTTAAAAGAGTGTGCCTACTTAAATAGATATTTAAAATATAATTGAAGTGACAAAAGCACATGAACTCTCTATAAGTAATATCTGGAGAGTAAATGTGTTAACACTCTGAATTCCCATTAGAATGGGAAATTATTAGAAATAAATGTACCTAAGTCTAGTGTCAAATATCACTCTTAGCGCTGGTTAGCACAACAAATTAAACACACTTCATGTGAAAATACATAACTCTTACTCAATATTATAAAATAAAGAAAAATCACTATTACTGCTCTAGTTAGAAAATGAAATTGTGTTTGCTTCTCACAAATACTGGTTTTTATTTAAGTCTCCTGAAGTACCTATCTCCTGAGATGCTGGCTGGGCTTTAAGAACAGCTTGCAACACTGGATCTTCCCATGGGCCACCATCTCTAATGATTCGAGTCACCAGTTCCAGATTCACATTTCCATATCTGCGGAGGTGATTCTGGCATTCCTAGGAGAGAAAAATCATTTTGGCTTTGTGAATTTAAAGGGGTAAAAACTAAACTTGATCATCATTGTCAATAAAATGACTGATGGCCAATGAGACAGCTATTAAGTTATAAAAGAGAAAGGGTTGCTAAGTAACCTATGTAGGGTGTCAAAACCCCATTAGTACACAAATAGACTTTAATGCCAAAGGTTACACAGTTTGCACATAACTGGGCTTAGAAAATCCCATTATAATAGGGATGAAGTGTAACCTAAGGAAAAATCTTAAGGGATGCATCATTTCTAGGAAGAAAATCCCGTTGCAAAAATGTAAGGAAAAAACTTAAGGGATGCATCATTTCTAGGAAAAGCACCAGGTTGCAAAAATGTAAAACTAAAATGCTCACTTAAATTTATGTGAGGGCTCATACAGTTTCTGTTAACAAGGGCAAGCAAAAGCCTGACAATAAGAAAGGGGTAGAAGGGTTCTGTGCAGATTCTGGTTGACAAGTAGACATAGGTGCCTTGCCCAACCCCAAATGTATAATCTTAGTTGTGGTAGAAGGCTGAAAGATGAAAATTCTAATCCACTTTGTTGTGTAAGTACATTTGTAGTCTTAGGACAAAGAAATGATAGGCTGAAGGAATGAATCCAACCTATAATATGAACACTTTGCATTTGGTGTAAGATAAAAATATATTGATAAATTGGGCATTAACTGATAAACTGATAATATGTCTATGCATATTCTGGGTTTGTTTTTTTTAAAGATATTTGAATTGTTTTTAATGAACCTCATATCTTAGACTTGTGATTATAATATGAATTATGTAATATAAGTTAAGTTTGTAAGCACTGTTTAATATTTAGGAGAACTTTTTTAACTGAATTTATAAATTTATTAGATTTAGATTTACAAGATTTAATTGTTTGATTATACTTTTTGATTCATTATATACTTCATTCAGTATTGTGTTTTAAAATGTTTCAGTGTATTTAATTTGGTAATTTAAAAGGATTAGCTGAAGGCCTAGTGAAGTTTATAAATTTATTTTTTAAAATGCATACATTGAGCTTAAAGCCTTAAGGAAAAAAACTAAGTATTAATATTGTCAATATTAAAAATCTGAATAAATTGTGCGTCAATTAAAACAGCTGCCAGAATTTTTTTATGTGCCCCACCCCCAAAAATTAGTAACAGCTGTAAAGCAAAACTTCAGGATAAAACAATAACAGGGATGGGCAATAGTAGGTTTACAGTTGTGAGTATTCGAAACACAGTTTATTCTTGTGTTATAATTACTGTATTATTTGTGTTATAACTGTAAACCTACTTTTGCCCACCCCTGTATGTATATCACAAATATTACTTATCGGATAAATTACCAGGCTACATATTCAAAGTGACAATAAACATTTTGCTTTTATTAAATTGTCATGTTCTTTCATCATCTGAATGTTCCAAAGTGATGTCTATACGTCACTTCACATTCGTTGTTCAAATATACAAGAGGTTTTGTTTTATAAGAGAATGAAGCAACAGAAGAAATCAGATTTCAAGATAAAGAATCATTCAGTCAAAGAAGGCAAAGGATTCTTAACTCAAAACATGAAAATAAATACCATCTAAAAGGACATTCCCAAATTAAAATGAGTGAGCAAGCAAACAAAAATCCTTTAAACAATGGGCAAGTTACTTAACCTCTCTGTGCTCCTTCAATTAACTCTTCTGCAAGAAGAATACTGAAAACACCACCTTCGTAGGATTGTTGTAAGGATTAAATAATAAACAGTATTGAAAAGTGCTTGGTACAATGCCTGGCACTTAATAGTAAGCACTTAATAAATACTAGCTATTATTTCTTTTGTATTTTTTAACATTCTGAATAAATATTTTATTTTAGGACACACAGTTGCCTCAGCATAAAATTAATTTCTACATTTCCATGTGTCAGCATGTTATAGCATTCAAAAAATAAGACATAAAGTTATTGATCAGCTCTGCTTTTTTAAACACATGGAACATAGTAACAATTGGTGGCAACAGCTTCATGGAACAACCATCAATTTTAAACCTCAAGGTAAACAAAATCCTAAATTACACTAGACACACACATTGGTGCTGCTAAAATTCAAGCTGGATTTTGGTCCAATCAAAGCACAAGAAATAAGGTGAGTTGAATACTAGCTCCTGAATCACTGGTGAGCTGTAACTCTGCTGATGAGCCCTTGGACAACACATCTTTCTAGCTGTGTTAGGGTAAGTGAGGCAACAATCATACAGTCATTAACACAATGGGAACTTGAACTGGACTTAGGCTGAAGTCAGGATATGGTGAAATAGGTCTATTGCTAATTTCCTAAACTTGGCTGAAAATAGTAAGCACTTGGAGGTCTTGTTGAATAACAGATTCCCAGGCCCCAGTTGAAACCTACTGAATCGCCATTTCTCAGGGAAAACCCTGATGATCCATCTGTAAATCTAACAGCCCTTATGCCACAGTCAATTTTGGCACACTTTTTTATTGCATCTCCTACAATTAGTGTGTACTTTCATAAATATTCACACTATATACACTTGTATTCCCATCAATCCCTCCATTAAAAATTACTAAGTTAGCTTACAATCACCTTTCTAAGATAGAAATTATAAATATAAATTTTTTGTGTGTGTGTGTGCTCTTGAGTCAAGTACACCATGTTTTGGAGACCACATCTATGAGAAATAGCTTGGGATAGGAAATAAAGATTAAATAAACATTTCACTTTGTTCTATTTAAAAAGACATGGGATGAAAAAGAACAAGTTTATAAGTATCTTTTGGCCCCTCCTTCCTTAAATCGTATGGTGCCTTTTTTTGGATGATATTCAATCTAAAAGCCTTCAAAGTGAAAAAGGAAGAACTGAAGTCACTACAGAATCCACAACTTATCTTTTCTACAGTATATATACGTATTGTGGGGGTTGTTTTAGAATGTTTACTTAATTAAAGGTTTGGACCTGTGTATTAACCTAATCCTTTAATAAGTCATCTGTCTGCTAGGGTGGATAAAAGTAGGTTTACAGTTGTTCATATAGAAAAAGACAATAATTAATAAATAATACAATAAACACTTTCATGAACTTACAACTGTAACCTGCTTTTGCCCACCCCATATAATTCCCTCCAAAACTTCCATTCAACCTTATGTCATTACCAAAGGTAGAGAAAAAACACAGCTCCTTCCCTCACTCTTCTTTTGGAATCCATGTGGCATGGGCAATGTTTTATTTTAGAAGCGTTTTCTTCCCTGAACTCTCTCCTACTTTGCTGGACTCTAGTTGGCCATGAGAACATGTCTATGAAGCTACAGATCAGTGTGCTGGCTATTCTGCAAACTTGATCTGAACCCTTTGCCAGCTCATCACAGGATGCAAGTCTTAATGCTCCAACTTAATGACCTCTGGACTTATCTACCTACTCATTCATCTACTACACATCATGAAGTCTTTTCTCTAGTCAGGTCTCTTCTATGTGTCTCAAACTCATACTTTCTTACCTATGCTTTTTGTCATATCGCGCTCTTTCTCTTAAAACTTCCTATAAACCTATTTAAATCCTTTCCTAACTCTTTCCAGTCCCACTTTTCCCTGAGAAGCCTCCACTAGCTACCTCAATCCATACTAAACTTAATGCCTTCTCTTGTGGTACTGAAAAGCTCTACCAGTCCACTCTTCCAGTGTTTATCATGTAGAGAAAGGCCTGGCTTTATTTACTGCTAACATCTTACTTCCTACGTAGTTAAAAACTTCTTCAATTCGTCAGGAAAGGAAAGGAGTGCCAAAGAAGATAAATGCTTGATAATAAATAACTTTGTAAACAAAATAGGGAAATATGTATCAGCAGAAGCACTGTGCAATATCTGTCTTTTTAAAAAAATGCAGATTTCAGAGTAAAATTATAGAATACACCACAGTCATATTAATTCATAAGCAAGTTATTTTAACAAATCATAGAAAAACATAAAGGTCTGTAATGTGATTAATTTTATAAAAATGGAGCCTCTAAAATACAGTAAAATATTTACAATACTTTGAAGTGAGATAAGAATGATCATGATATCTTTTATTATTTCTTTCATTGGTTATCTTACGGCAAAGCACTTTCAAAGGTAAAATTGAAAGAAATTATGCGGTTTTCTTTTACAAAAAGACAGTTATTGCAAATTTGCTGTTCTTTTCTTTGGTTAAGTTCCTAAGCAGTATTTACCTGATGTTTTAGGAAAAAAAAAAAAAAACTCTTAGTTTGCCCATATAAAGAGGGCAGTATAACAATGAAAAAGTTACTGCTTTTCAAAGGAAAGTTCTTATGAAGAAAATGATTTTAAATGAAAGTTTAGAAGTGTGTCCATAATTATGACTGTTGTTGACAAAAATCAATGTCACCTACAATGCTTGTATCTATGCCATTAAAAACTAAAACTAAAAATCTCTGCTGAAAAATCTTTCAACTGGACCATTTTAATAAGTTTTCAGTTAATTTGTTAAAAATGGTTAGTATTTGGGATTCTAAGATGGTAGCAGATTAAGTGGAAGCTACACTGACACACTCCCAGGACCACACTGGAGTTACAACTAAAATATACAAAAATAATCATGTATAATTAACTGAAGACTAGCTGGAGAGAATCTTCATAACCAAGGATGAAAAGTGGAGACCTCATAGACTGGTAAGAAGTGCAGAGGCACAAGACTAGCTGGGCTCCCACAGGCAGCAACTGAAGGTTCGGTGGGATATCTGAGCTGAGGAGGGTTTCCACTGAGAAGTCTGGGGTCTAAACCGCAAAATGGGCTCCCCAGCCCAGAGCACAGGAATTGAGAAAGATGCCCCTATAACATCTGGTTGTGAAAAACAGTGAGGCTTTCAGTCTGCCAGGGAGATGACTGGAAATGCAGGCACCCTCTTAAAGGGCCAACACACAAAGTTTTGTGTGCAGCCACTCACCTTGGAATCCAGCAGAGGGAGGGTAGAGTGGACTAGT